ATTCAAATCCACCTTCATTGCAGCTGCAAAATTTGGACCTTTCTTCCTATTTTTTATTGTATGGTGATGTGTCTATTTTATATAGTATTTTACCCCCGTCCCTTGGTCATAATTAGTAGTGTTTTTGGCTCTTTAGAGCCACTTTTATTACTAATTGGTGTTTTCTAGTGTTTTCGTAGATTTGGTTGACTTTTGCAGGGACTTTTGCTTTTGGAGTATTTTCCCGAGATATTTTAGAGCAATCACGAGCATTGGAGAAGCACGACCAGACTTTATAGCCCAGGGCCGGTTAGAGCCATCGAACCGGTGATTAAGGGCTTGGTATAGGTGATACCGGGGCATTTGGACCGAGTATTCAAGACCCAAAGAGGAAACCCAGATTGGCCCGAAGAATTGGAGCCCAATCGAAGTCCAATTATTGGCCCAAATGAGCCGCCCGGCCAAAAAGGCTGGCGCCCGGCCGGGCGGGAGAAGCTTGGTCCGGCGCCCGGTGACGCGCCCGGCCGGGCGCGAGATTTGTATTGGAGTCAAAAAGGCGCACCCAATCGGGCGGTGCCTCGCCCGATCGGGCGCGTGTAGTTTTTAGGAGACGATTAACGTAGTTTTAATTTGTTTTAGTTTAGGATTTTATTACGGAGTATAAATACTCCTCCGTAATACGATTCTCTCTATCTTCTTTCTTAGACTTTCTCTCTCTACTTAGTTTTCTCTCTCTTAATCTCTCTCTAAACCTTTGTTCTTAATTCTTTCATTAATTCCAGATTTATTTTGGCAACGATTTCTTTTTCTTTAATCTTAGTTATTTATTTTATTCCTTTCACCATGATTTATTTTATTACTTTGATTAGTTTAGTTTTTAATATGTGTGAGTAGTTTAATTTCTAGGGTTAATGGGGATCTAATAAATAATATGAAGGGGTAAATTATTGTTGTTAATTATCAATGCTAGATTAATTTCCTATTGATTGATTTAATGCTCTGTGACTAGATTAGGCCTATCTTTTATGCATGATTTTGACAATATTGATTCAAGAATCGAGAGATGAGAATTAATGTTTAGGTCTAGTTTCAATAGGCAAGTTAATTTATAAATGGTTAAGTCAAGATTCGAGAGATGAGATTTAATACCGATAAATTAATTGTGTGATTGTAATAAGTAGCGAGAGCCCTTTACAATCTGGTTAATTGATGCATTGATGATTGACTATTATTGATTATTGGTATTGCATGATAATTTCTTATTGGATTGTTTTAATGTTTTACAATTGCGACTTGTAAAAGTATAGCAATATTAAATTGATGAATCGAACAGATGTTAATTTGATATTAAAGGCTATTTTCAATAAGAACTTAGATCTAGTAAATTGCGAGAGCCTGTTAGATCTATGTTGATTAATAAATTGCGAGAGCCTGTTAATCATGTTATTTATGCAATGCCAATGATTGATTACTATGTTTTACCCTGGAATATTATTTATTGGTGAACCATTACCCTAGATCCTTTAATATATCGTTTTCTCCCTACTCTTATTCTTTGTAGTTTAGTTTCATACTTAATTATAAATATTGGTTACTTAGATAATTTAGATTATAATAATTAATTAGGAATAAAAAGACTTGTTTCCCTGTGGAGATCGACCCTACTTCCCTATCTACCTTAGTTAGTGAATTAGGTAATTATTTTTTATTAGGGGATACGACTTTACCCTGTCATATGGATGAGTTCATGTGCAATTAGACAGTTATCCACAAGTAATCTCCCTGGAATGAACGCATTTTGATACTCACTTACTATATCTCCCAGAATCCTCTTCACTCTGATCACTAAGCATTTGGAGATGATCTTGTAGAACGTGTTGCATAGGCAAATTGGTCGGTATTGTGAGACTTTTGTGGCATGTGCCACCTTTGGTAATAGGCCTAAGAAGGTCCTTCTCAGCTCCCTCAGTAGATTGCCACCATTGAAGAAGCCCTTCACTGCCGCACAGATGTCAGGCCCCATGAAGTTCCAGCATTTTTGAACTATAATTGGCGGACAACCATCCGGACCAGGAGCTTTCAAGGGGGCCATACTGAACACGGCTCCCCTTATCTCCCTGTATGTGAAGTCTTTGTTAAGTGCCTGGAATTGAGCTGAGGTTAGTTCTGGGAGATGTTGTAACCATTCCTCCATGAGGGGGGGTATTATTGTGTAATGAGTCAGAAGATTCCGCTTCCTGAGGACTGCATTTGTAGATATTGTCAAAGTAGTTCTTGAATTCTGCTGCTATCTTCTCATCTTCCAGGATCCATTCTCCCTCCTCTTGTTGTAGTGCCATAATGCTGTTTTTTTCTTTTCTTTCTTCTATGCTCCGAAAAAAGAAGGAGGTGACTTCGTCCCCTAGCTTATCCCATCGCGATTTCGCCCTTTTCTTCCAGAATAACCATTGGACTGTTGCGTCTTGTTGCATCTCCTGCCTGAGTTGCTTCTCCTTTGCTAGCAGTCCATGGTGTTCCTCCTTCGTTGTAAGTGCCAGCTGTATCTCCATTAGAGAGCGTTGGAAGTCATCCCATTGTATGCCCCTCGTGGCCTTCCATTTACAGCACCAGTGCAGCAATTGGTTTCTTACATTTTGCATCTTGCGGCATAGCTGGTACATGCACGAGCCGTTGCAGTGCTCCTGCTAAGCCTCTCGTATTAAGGATAAAGCTTCCTCAAAATGCACCACCCAGGCCTCCAATTTATATGGTCTTTTTCATTTTTTATTCAGTTCAGGGTTGGTGTCTAAACAAATAGGGCTGTGGTCGGATAGGAAGATTGGCATGTTGAAAACCAGTGCATTTGGGAAATGGTCAGACCAATTGCGATTGCAATAGGCTCGATAGAGTCTTTCCATTATGTTATCCTCCCCTTCCCTATTATTGGTCCAGGTGTATTGTGTGCCTTTGCAAGGGATTTCGATCAAACCACACTCCATCCTCCACTGGCTAAAGGAATTTGCTCCCCTTAGCACCTGTGAACCCCCCTTTTTTTGGGATTGGAATTCAACCTGGTTAAAGTCTCCAATTATGATATGGTTGCCGGGTATTGCCATTAGGTGTGATTGTAGCATCTCCCAGACTTGCTTCCTATCATCTAAGTATGGCGAGCCGTACACAAAGGTAAAAATAGATTCAAAGTTCGTGTGGTCAGTGACCTTACATGAAATGAAATAACAACTACTGGCCAACCATTCAACGGAGAATAGTTTAGACCATCCTACGAAGAGACCCCCTGCCGACTCCTGAGCATCAACTCTGGAGCATACACTGATTGAGACAGACACAAGACACTTAGTTTCTGAAATAAAAATACAATCAGCAGACATCAACCTACTACTACTACTAATAAAAGGAATTACAGGGGATGACATAGACCCTAGTCCCCTGCAATTCCAGCACCAAATCCTCATTTAGCACCTCGTGGCTTTCCCGGGGTAGCCACGGAACCCTTAGAGCATGAGCAGCAGCACTTGAAAAAGATCGGCACCTCCCTCTCAATACCATCCTTTGCCTCTTGTCCCGCCGTCCCTGTATCCTTGCCCTTCTCCGATAGCACCAGTCTAGGAGAGTCATCGTCAGACAAACCAAGCTTCCTCGCATGAGCTCCCCTGTATGCCTTTGACTTCTTGCGCTTCTTTCCCCTTCCCTTATCTGCGTTGTGCTCATCCTAGGCTTGGTCTTTTGGATCCAGGTTGAGGTCTAAAACAGAGTTGAACGTGCGCTTGACTCCACTAGACTCTCCTTTGGGCTCGTTTGCCTTCCCTTCACTGGGCTTTCCTTCACTATGTTTAATGCTCTCCAACAGGAACCCACTGGGCTTCCAGAAAATACTATTTGCAGGCCTTACATTGGGCCTGGTTTGTTGGGCTTTCCCCGCCGTTCATCCCGGCCCTGACTCGGCCACATAAGACCCTTGTCTTTCCGGCCCACCCCATTACAGGACTTGTTGATAAGGCCCTCCTTTTCGGTGTCCGGTGATCTAGGGGAGATGTTTAGATCACTAATTTTAGCCATATGTTTAGATAGATCTACTTTTGGAGAGCGATCCATAGAGGATGCGACAGAGAAGAAGGAGTCTGGTGAGTTAGGAGAGCTATTTGGGGTTTTAAACACTGAATTTTTTTGTTGTTAGGACTTTGGCATTAAAGCATCAAAATGGGCCACTTTTTGGGCTTGAGAAAAGGCTCAATTATCCTACCTAGTTCATCCCAGGACTCAAAGGAGGAGTCCGAGTCATCAGAATAGATAAAAGCAAGGGCTGAGAAGCGTTTACCTCTAGCTGGTGGACCACTGTGGTTGGTAGAGCTAGTGGGTCCCATCGGCCCATTGATATCCCAGATAACACATTCAGCATCACCAAAGTCCAAGAGTTCAACGTCATCGAAATTTGGAAGCACCAAATTATCAAGGCTAGAGGGGACCGAGGGGGTTGATAACAACGAGTCAATGTCGCTTGAAAGGGGGTCGAAGTCGAACAACTCAGCAAGGGGGTTGGGGAACTCCATGTGTCTTAAAAAGGAATTAAACAAATTCTGAGCTTTTTTGGAAAGAAGGAAGCAAGTGGGAGTGAAGAGTGTGGTTGGTTTGTTTAAATAAAGAAGTTCATGGGGGGGTGGGAATGTCAACCTGGGTGGGTGGGATAACATTAATTCCTTTTATGGGAAGTTTAAAGAGTTTATCCTTATACCTTAACAGAATCTGTTTTTTATTTGAAACTGGAAAGAAACTGTCAGACAAGGATCTCTTTGGTCGTACCTTCTGAAAAGGCGGCTGAGGAAGAATATCTCGAATTACCATAATACCCTTATCAGAGCAATGTGATAGCTTATTTCCATGGGTATACTTGGAAAATCGTCCTCGACCCGAACCACCGACCTGATTCGCCTTCTGCTCTAAGATTTTTCTTCTCCCGCGTTTTTTTTTTCATTAATGTTGCAATTAATCTTGGTTTCTTCCACCTACCAAGTTGTCTTCCGTCTTCAGAGCACAGTAGATTCGGACTTGACTTGCGTTTCCCCAGGCACGTTACCGGCATAACCAGGAAATTTCGGCGAGCTTTCAGGCTGAGTTGTGAGGGTGGCTGAGGTTGAAGGTTCTGTTGAGATGCTCCTTCCTTTTGCCTTTGGTGGTTTTTCTTTTTCTGCACTTTCTTTTCTTTCACCGGTGTCAGTGCTAGCATTGTTGTCGGTGTTGTTGCCGGTGTTCCCATTGCTGGCCCCTGTATTGCCCGGACATGGATTTGAGCTATCTTCACTGGATTCTTCTGCGTCCTCCATCGAATGGTCTTCTCCGTCCTCATCATCATCATCGTCCTCGTCTTGGTCGCCATTGTCTTCGCTACTTTCGCTTAGACCTGGCAAATGGGTCATTCGGGTCGGGTATGGGTCGGGTCAAGTTCGGGTCAAAAGATTATCGGGTCAAGTTCGGGTCGGGTCTGGTCATTTCGGGTTTCGGGTTGATTTCGGGTCGGCCGATAATCGGGTCGGGTCAGTATCGGGTCAACACTTCGGGTCGAGTTCGGGTTTGGTCAAGTTTGGGTCGGGTCAATTTTCGGGTCGGGTCAGTTCGGGTCAGGTCAATTTTCGGGTCAACTTCGGGTCGGGTTAACTTCTAGTCGAGTCATATTCAGGTGATTCATTGGGTTAAATTCAACTCTTATATATATTATTTATTTATTTTTTGACGAAAACTCACTATATTTATTAAGGCTAATTTTTTCATGGATTATAGTAATTGTTTGACTTTTATTAACCTTTTTTTTTGTGTGTTTAGAAATTTTAGATTGAGAATCACTTTCAGGATCTCCTGAAACTAAGAGGGATTCTCTAACTAATTGAGTTATACCTCACTCTCTTATTGATCTTAGTTTTAAAACGTACTCTTATTATCATTGTCATTGTTGTAATAATTTCTTTGAATTGTTCTTATACCCCCTCCGTCCCAAATTACTCTTAACGATTTGACATTTTGCACTATTCACACATCTCACTTTGACCATCTTTTTTAGCTATTATATGAAAGTCTATGTAGTCATGTAAGATGTTGTTGGGTCTATTTTAATGTATAATTTTTTAATATAAACTTTTTATAACTTATATAATTATGTACTAAAAGAAGTTAAAGGTCGGGTCATTTTCGGGTCGGGTCAACTTCGGGTCTCGGGTCAACTTTGGGTCGGGTCGTTTCGGGTTGGGTCATTTCGGGTTTTGGGTCAAGGTTGGGTCAGTTCCACTTTGGGTCGGGTATGGGTCGGGTCGGGTTAATTCAGGTTTTGGGTCAATTTCGGGTCACTGGTTTCGGTTGATTTCGGGTCATCGGGTCTGGGTCAGGATTGCCAGGTCTACTTTCGCTGTCAGAGGTTGGGGATTCCGGGTCCCAGTTATTCTCGGACTCGCTTGACCCTTCATTGTATCTCCCCAAATAATCATCCGTTAGGTCTATCCATCTTGTCCTGTGTCTCTCCACACTCTTCAAGCCTATTAGCTTCCTTGTAAACAGGGGTTTATAGGATGGGTTTATTTTCAAACAACCATCACTACCACAGACTCGCATCATGGTTGCCTCGATTTCTCTGCTGGTGTTGGCTGGGGAGGATCTGCAATGGTTTCTTTATGGCCTATTCTGCCACATATGCTGCAGAAGACAAAGATTCCTTCGTATATGAAACTAACCCACTTGAAATTACCCATTGTATACTCAAAGTAGAACCCTGGTATAAGAGGCTTGCTGATATCCACCCATAACCTGGCTCTGATGTCACATCTAACCGGGTTTTGCAAAGATTCTTCATCATAAAACAATATCTTCCCAATTCTTGCAAAAGCCCTGCTAGCAATCTTGATGTTGTTGTAGTATAAGGGTAGTCTTTCAATCCTCACCTACGTGTATGTTGAATCAAATGGCATGGAGCGCAGCGCATGCCCAATTAGGCATAATTTTAAGACTAGGAGAGCCCCTTTGTATTTTGTCACACCGTTCCTTGCCAATGCTTTGCAATCATCTGGGTTAGTGAATTTAAAGAGGAAAACATCGGCCACTTTTTCTACAGTCACAAGGCCTTTGGTGAACCAGTTTGAGAACACCCAGTCTTGAATTTCGTCACTGGAAAAGTCCTTGTTTCTCCAATCTTTAAACTTTCCCACCACTATTCTCCCTACATCCGCATGTGCTTTTAGCTTTTCATCTGCTGTTGGACGTATAACAGGGCCCATTTGTCGGATGTTTGAGAAAGAGAAAGGGTTTTTGTTAGGAGGATTAAAATCCTCAAGGTCTGCCATAAAACTGGCTGCTGAAAGCTAGGAAGTAATTTGAACCACCTAAGGGTAGGGTGGGGATGAAGGGGAAGGAGAGGTTGGGTTTCAAAGGAAATAAGAGCAAGTGAGCTAAGATGGATATGCTAGTAGAGAGAGATGCTCTAGAGATCTAGAGAGAGAAAAAATGGCTCTTGTCTTTTGAGAGGTGTGAAATCCCCAACTTGCTATTATTGTAATCTATATCTATATCTATATCCATAACCCTTATAAAAGCCAAATTGGGTTGAGGAAGTTTTACCTTTAGCAAATTCCTTATGAACAGTGCTCGGACGGTTTTGCCCCTGCCATAATATTTTTTTGTTCTTGCTGAATGCTTCCCTTCCGTTTTTGCCCTCTACAACTTGTTTTTGGTTTTATCTTTTGTTTTGTCGTCTTTTCCAGCCTTTCTCAGCTTCACTGTATTTTGCTCCTTTTTTTTCTCTCTCCTCATCTCCTCTCAACCTCTCTCCTCAATCAATCAACGTAATCATCTTCACTAAACCTATCTCTTCTCAAATTCTAGGCCAGGGTTCTTCATTTTGAACGCTAATCCTATCCCCATAATTCTTTGGTTGTTTAATTTGGTGAGATTGATGGATTTAGGGTTTATTTCTTAGACAGGAGAACCCATCTTTCTCTCTCCTTTTTTAAAACCCACAAACTCCATTTTCATCCAACACTGAGTCGTGCACCGATTCACCAAACCCAATCAACAAAAGCCTATGATCGCCGGAAAATGGCCACAGCATCACCAACATCTCCACCGTCTCAACATCCACGAATTTCAAGTATATCGCTTTGTTCGTCAATCCCGAGGAACGCCTTCATCTTGAGCATGCCCAGAAACATGCTCATTGATCTTCCTCCTTTTTCAGGTAATTTTGGTTTTGATTGTTTCAAATTGAAATTGATTCTAAATTTTTGTTGATTTATTTTTTTACAAACCAGGAGGGAGAAACAGAAAGCTGAGGAGAGAGGGAGTTCGCTGGAAATGGCTAGGGTAATTTTTCAGCTAAATTACCTTAGCCTAGGGAATTTGATGTTTTGTGTGTTTTCCTTAAAATCTGTATATCCCGTGCATATGAAATATTTCTAATCTATCTATGGTTTTTCACTTAACATTGTATGAATTTATGTATTTTTGCAGGAGGAATTTGAGTAAGCTTTATTAAAAAACAAGAAGAAAGAGAATCATTAAATGGTAGCTTCTAGTGCCAGAGCTTTCTTTGTTAGGTAAAATTAAAGAATCACTATATTTGATCTATATTCTTCATCTCTTTTATACTATACTGTATTGATCAAATTAACGAAATAAACTGTTTAATGAATATTTTTACTTAAAAAGCTTTTGATGCTAAACTACTTCATTAGTCACAAAATTTGATGCTTAAGGTTTTAGAGTTTGATTCTTTATGAATTTTGTGTCTCTTGATGTAATGCTTAATGTGTAAGAAACAATTTGCTCGCTTGCATTCTAGGTATGTCAAATTCTGATTTTATATACTCCTTAAAGAGGGTTCAACTATTATAAGTTGAGTGTTCCATTGTTTCTGGGTTTGTGTAGAGTTTCAAGCTCATATCTTTAGGGTTCTTCTAAGCTTGATTATTTCTGATTTTATTTTTTGGCGGATTTTGTAGGAAACCCAGATGTTCAAGATTGAATTAAAGAAGATATTCTTGATTGAGTTGTCAATGTTTGTGCCAAGGTGAGTTCATTCAAGTCTAATTTAATGTTATATTATTTGCTTTTGTCTTGTAAATATTTGATCTTAAAGTGTTCGATGAATTGCTTGAATGAAATAGATTGTGGGTATTTTCTCATTTAATCTAGGGGTTTATGTTTTCATATGACCCTTAATTATGAATTGCAGGTGATTGATGATCTAAATCTTGCCAATTTACTTGGTGTTTGAGTTCTCCATTAAGTTCTACTTTGACTTGGGGTTTGAGTTTTCCATCATGAATCTCATCTGGGTATGTCAAATTCTGATTTTATATACTCCTTAAAGCGGGTTCAAGGATTATAATTTGAGTGTTTCCTTGTTTCTGGGTTTGTGTAGAGCTTCAAGCTCAGATCTTTAGGTAGTGTCAGTTTCATGATTTTGTTTGGGTATTTCATCTTTGCTCGATTAATTGATCTGATGTTTCAAAGATTTTATCTGTTATTTTTTGGTAAAAGACTTTTTAATGATTTGTGGTTGCAGATCCGAAGAAAATATAAGGGACCATGCCTCATTAATCACTATCGACCTCACCCAAATCAACTTGGACTATGTAAGATTTTAGCTTTTATTTTTATATGTTAAGTTTGTGTAAAAGTTTTACCTTCAATTTCATTAATTGTAATTAATAATTGAATTGAAGTAGTGATGATGAAGTACTAAATTTTGAATGGATTTTGATCTGGAGTTAATTGGTGGAAAATAGAAGTACTTTTGTTTAGAGATTGGGGCGTGGGTCGATGTTTGGTGAATCAGCCTACCAATGACCTGAAGATAAAGGCATTGTATTTAATTGGTTGTTAGGTTTAGTTGACAATTTTGCAAACTTAGGGACATAATTTTGCTGCGACTGCTGTTTTTGTTATAATTTAAGCTTGTGAAAGGTATACAAACACAGTAAAGATAGTTTTAAGTGATTGGTAATCTGGAGGTGAGTTTTAATATTATTTTAAAAATTTGTTTCAGTTGTACTGTTCCTCATTATCTTATAATGTCAGAAGTATGAGTCTAATTCAACCTTTTCTCACAATGGTGATTTCAGGGCAAGCAATAGTAAGGTGTTTAGAAGGGTGCTATAATGGAATTTCAAAAGGTTATAGGTATAACCCTTGATGGGGATGTTGTAGGTTGGTAATTTTTATGAATTGTGTTCTTTATGAATTAAAAAGTAATTTTTATTGTTCTCGATGTTGGATGAAAATAGTGAATTGATGGGGTCTGATGCTCAATGATGGGGTCTGATGCTCAATGATAGAGAATCATTAGATAATAGTTGCCTAAGATACAATTGTTCTTGAGTGATTTTGATATTGTCTCTCAGGAATTTGTCTTGAATTGTTGTGCCATGCTTCTTACTTGTGATTTAGTTTGCTGGGTTATGCTTTCCCAATCTGTATTCCTAGGGGGGCTGATTATATATTGGGGAAGTTTAAGACTTTTTCTAACGTGTTTCTAATTTACACTTCGTGTCTTTAAATTGAATTTTTGAAGAGGCAGACAAGCTGCAGAAAGCATCTTATGATGCAGGTCTGTTTCTTTTCCCTTAGAAAGAATTACTTAATTGAGCACGATTTTTGCAATACAATAAATGGTAGTCTCTAATTTATGTATTTTTTTTCTTCAGATTGGGTCGGCATTCAGTTTTCTATGGGTTGCAGTGCTCAGTTTTTTTAAGAACGGTCTCTTTGCTGTTGAGGTATTCTCCTCTTTCATTAATGTACAGGTACAACTAATGCTAAAAGGTCAGATGATGTCAAAGAATTACAGATCAGTGTCAAGGTATAATCTTTCTTTCATTTTTCTGATTTTGAGTTTGAATATTATTCTCATATGCACAGTATTTACGAAGTATTTTCTGATCTTTAATTGAAGGTGTAATTATTTTGTTGTTGGGTTTGCGATTTTTATTGGGAATATGCTGCTGAGTTTGTTACTTCTTATTGAATTGATTGAAATGAAATGATGTTTGTTGATTAAAATGATTGTTACAATGAACTGATTTATAATGAATTTATTAATGGCCATTTTATTGATTTATTATGACAGTTTAATGTTGGTTTTTCTGAATGAAATTTTTTAATGGGTTCTTAAATTAGTTTTGGGTAAATTGATAGCCTTTTGAATTGAAATTTAATTAGACTAAGTAGATGGATTTGTGTGTGTCTGATCAACAGGTAATTATAACAGAAGCTTCAAAGGTTATTCGAGATGCTGGAAAGAAGATGAACCTTATGTCTTCTTTGAATCAGATAATTGCTTCTTCAAGACCACCATCCAAGAAGTGGAAGGTATGTCAATAATGGGAAGATACTTAACACAAGTGGCTTTGCTCAAAATCTTGAGAACTGACATGCCTGACACCATAGAATTTTTCCTTTAGCGTCAATGAACATGATGTCTTGCAGTCTCTGCATTGCCTAATCTATGTCAAAGATTTATAGTAATAAATGGCACTAATGTTAGTAATGTTTCTTGATTGTCAGGTCCTTGTACACTCTTAAACCAGTTTCTAAAGATCTGGTTTTCAGTTTTTCACTCATGTCACTGATAAATATGATAGTGTGAGACTTGGGTGTCCACTATGTTTAGTCAGAGGGAACTCTAGAAGCTGGGAATATTTATTGGAGAGAAAAGTTGTCCCTTAAAAAGAAATCAGATTTGTTACTTTATCTGCAATGTCTAATCTCATCTTATGTCCTCTTGTGGAAAAACAACTCTTTCAAGGTTTGGGTTATGTGAATAAGCTAGCACGTGAGAGAGAAATTCATAACAACTGTTTTTGTTTCGAGGTGAAGATAATGGTTGTTTTAGTTTAGCGATCTCCTGATGGGTGATGTTGCTGCCTTCTCATCAGTCCAGACTCCCGAGCACCTCCAAACATGACATGTGACTCTTTCCTTATTGAGGTGAAGATAATGGTTATTTTAGTTTAGTGATCTCCTGATGGGTGATGTTGCTGCCTTCTCATCAGTCCCGACTCCCGAGCACCTACTCCCAACATGACATGTGACTCTTTCCTTATTGTGGTTATACCTTCCTTCAATCACAGCCCAAACTAATCCCCTACCCTACTGACCCCAAACCTTTCTCACCCCACCCAAACCCACAAAAAAAAATTTAATAGTCTTCACTTCCTGCTGTCATGTAACTGGAAGAAATTGTTCAGAAAGAGGAGAATAAATGGAAATTAATTATGCTAGGGGAGATTGAAGAATGTTGATGCACATCGTATATGGTAACATAATAAGAAAATTGTCTCATAAGCTAAAAGTTTAGTGAATTTTGTATATATTGTCATTTGGTGAGTCAACTTTCTTTTTGGAAATCATCAATGTCAGAGCTGTAGTATGTTTAAGTGCAACCTATGAATTGCTTAATTGAGGGAGGGAAAGAGGGTGGGATTTAGATGGATGTGTGAGGTTGTTTATACTTTATAGCTAGGACATGGGTTTTTCAGAACGAGTCTCAGTATTGGCTTCCAAATTACTATGTACGAAGTACTACAGTAGAATCTTCAATCGTACAGAAAGTGGGATCAATAATGAGCTTTGTTAACTTGTGTTACTTGTTACTAGGAGAATAGGATATGGTTAATGTAAATATATAATGATATATAATATAATCCATTTACCATTGGATTTAGACTATCTTGCGTTAAGCGAATTGAGATGTGACGATTTGATTTGATGTTGTGTAGTATGATCAAGGCCACAAAATAATGTCAACACACACAGAAACACCATGTTATTTGTCTTAAAACAGAATTATGTCACTATTTCCTTTTCCTTGCTAGCATGCTGTATAATTGCTTTGGTGTGTTGATGATTTTATTTGATGAAATGCATATCTTGAACCCTTTCTTTGTTGTGCTTGTGTGGTCAGGCTATTCTTTATGTCTTAGTTTTTTGTGTGACTGGCCCACTAAAACATGACCTTAAATATGTTGGTGAAAGTCAATTTTAGAAGTTTTTTGTGGGAAGGTAAATAACCTTGCGTTGGTGGTTAAATTTAAACTCAAAACTGGCATTTCTAATACAAAGGTCAGGTTGGCATAGTGTTGCATATTATATTTCAGAATGTATATGAGTGATGTGCTAAATGCAACATAATATGATACTACTATTTGGGAGTTGTATTTTTCCTGTATATGATGATTTCAGCATTTCACCTTGTGATTTTTTTTAATGTCAGAGTAATCAGATGTCATTGATTATGATAATATATCAAATGACTCACATTGTTATTAGTATTGATATTCTACATAATTTATTTCCTTTCAGGTTGGATTTCTAACATAGACGAATTTTGGATAAAGGAGGAGGTGCTGGGCCTGCTTCTAATGGCGTCAATGCGACTGTTAGACTTGTTTTCTTTACTGTAATCTATTCACTAAACTTGTTATATACAGGTATTAACTAGTAAGCAGGCAATGCTTTGCAATGAGTTTCATTTTCTAGCAGAAGTGATAAGACAGTCACAATTAGTTTAGTTTTTAAAGTATTAACAATCATTGCCATTAGATGCTTTAAAGTGTAATCAACTTACAATTTTGCAAAGTACAAGTGTAATAATTTTTTTTCCGAAGGAAGAAAATACTTTTTCTTTAAATATCATCGTGGTTTTTTTTTAATGAAAGGATAGACATAGACTATTATTCAAAAGTCATTATGGAGTTTTTTTTTTTTTTTTCTTTCATAAGAACATAACCTATTATCCAAATGTTATGAGTTTTGAATAAGGAATAACCTATTAACCAACAATGCAAATTTATTTAGAGGTGACACAATTGTGTATGATATTTATGGCCGAGACAACTATTGCTCCCTCTGTTTTGAATTAATCGTAATATTGGATGTTGCACAAAATTAAAGGAAAAAATAGGATGGGATTAAAAAGTGAATTTTATGACATCAACTATTTGGTGCAGCAGGTCACACCATGTGGAGGAGTTACATCAGTTATTTTGTTAGGGTTATCTGAGTTATTCAATCATGGGTAACTCGAGTTACTCGTTCAAGGGTTATTTGAGGGGTTGGGAGTTGGGACAAGGGTTACTTAAGGGGTTTACTCAAGCAAGGGTTACTTAAGGGGTTTACTCAAGCAAGGGTTACTTGAGGAACTACTCGAGTCACTCGGTCAAGGGTTACTAGAGGGGTTACTTGGTCAAAGGTTACTTGAGGGGTTACTCGAGCTACTCGGTTAGGGGTTATTTAATGAGTTTGGTATGTACGGGGTTACTCGAGTAATTTGGTTAGGGGTTACTTAAGAAGTTCGGTAAGGGGTTACTTGAGGGTTCAACCAAGGGTTACTTAAGGGGTTACTCAATCAGGGTTTACTTGAGGGGGAGGGGTTACTCGAGGGGTTCAATCATGAATTACTCGAGGGGTTACTTGGCAGGGGTTATTTGAGTAACCCCAACAACTCGAGTAACCCCGACAACTTGAGTAATCCTATACCGAGAAACTCAAGTAAATCTTGTTGTACGATATAACAAGCTGCATACAAAAATTTGTGATTTTTTAATGTAAATTATAATTAGTTAGATATATTTATTTGTTCGTAGGAGAGAGAAATAATAAAAAAAAGTGTAAATTTGGTTGGTTAGAGATAATAAAATAGTCGTGAATTCTTATCAAAGAAAGTAGTGTTGCAATTATTATGAAACGGATTGTGGCATGGTTACTTGAGTTACTTTGTTAGGGTTATTCGAATTATTCAGTCAGGTGTTACCCGAGTTACTCGGTCAGGGATTACTTCAGGGGTTGAGAAAAGGGATTATGCAGTAAATTGATGATATCCTTTTCATCACAAATGCTCTACATTAAATATGATAATTTTTTTTTCTTAGAGACCTATCATTATGTATGATATCAATAAGTAATAACACTAATATTTCAATACAGCTTAATTATACTTTACACAATAATGCAATAATTTATAACGAGGCATATATCATGTACAAATTTATAAAAACTAAGTTAATTAACTTATATGTCTTGCTAATAATTTTCTTAATAAGGTTTACACGCGCGCGGCGCATTCGGACTAGTAACTCTTAAAAGCCAAATTCAACAAAAATGGATATCTTCTTATGAACAGTGTACTGACAATTCTACCCCTAAAAAACTAAAAAAAGTTTATTGACGTCTTTACCCTTTTACTAACTAAGGCAGGCTACTTTTGTTTTCTTTGGATCGGTCTTTTTCTCTACTCACTTCTCAGCTTTCTCTCTCCTCACCTTTCTCCATGTTCTCTGATAACACAACAACTTTCTCGCCACCTCCGATCTCATCTCCCTGGCGACGACTGCACTCCTCCATAGAAATAGCTTTTGAGGTCGACTTTCTCATTTTTTTCTCCATTGAAGCATCTTCCGAGCTTTTTCCGTTCCTCCATTAAAGCTAATTCTGAGCTTTCCCATTTATTGAAGCAGCTTACAAGGTAATGTGTTTTTCAATCATCAAGTTTCCATTTTAAAATCGGATTTACTCTTTGTGAATTATTATCAGATTTACTTCGATCTATTTTGAGAAAAAATGGAAACCAATTTTATTAATATTTGTGGGTTGAATATTTTAGGGTTTAATTTGATCGAAAATTAATGTCGGGACCTCTTGATCAATTTGCTTGCTTGCATTCTGGGTATGTCAAATTCTGATTTTATACACTCCTTAAAGCGGGTTCAAGGATTATAATTTGAGTGTTTCATTGTTTATGGGTTTGTGTAGAGCTTCAAGCTCAGAACTTTAGGTAGTGTCAGTTTCATGATTTTGTTAATTCCTAATTTTGGTCAATTTTTTTTTATTGCTAATTATTGCAGAAAATTCCGATGTTATTGGTGGGTGGGGGGGGTGTTAGTTGTAAAGAGAGTGGTGGTGGTGGGGTAAAGATGGATTTGGATGATTTCAAAATTGAGAAATTCAGGGTTAGATATTTGGGGATTATAGAAACTGCAATAAAGGTAGCATCTTTAGATTATTGAGATGAGCTTAGAGTTAGGAGAAATGGTATTTTTGAGAAATTATACACAAATTGTCATAACTGTGAAGCTGCAGTTTGTAAAGATAATAAAAATATTTATTTCTTTAGTTTTGACGTTTGATGGTTTGTTTAATCTACATTTGATTTTTTTAGTATTTACCAAATTGAAGGAGGTTTCTGGGTTGTTTTATTGTTTATGCTGAAATAATTAATTGGTGATTTGTTTATTTTGTGTCTGAAATGTTGTTTCGTTGAGTTAATTTGGGTTTCGTGCTGGGAGAGGGAGTGCATTGGATATTTGGGGTTTGTGGCATTAGTTTGATGATGTAAAATGATGTGAAAGGATTACTGATAAAAATGGGGTTCTAGACTTCTAGGTGGAGGGGTTTGTTTGTAAAGATGGTTAGATCTAGAAAAGGAGTTTTTAATTTGAAGGAGCCTTGCTAAGATAAGTTCCTGCCAGCTAATTTTAAGGAGCTTGTGGGAAGTCTGGGAATGGTACAAATACACTATCTGCTGTAATTTTTCGAAAGAACTAGGATCACTTTGCCTTCGTAGTTTTAAAGGTAAGGCAGTGAGATGTCCAATGGTGGAGGAAAAATTGATTTTTATTGGAATGTTGTTTTTGCTTAAGGATCATATGGAATGCATTACCTTTTTATTGAAAAGGCAAGAAGGTCCTTTCCTTCCTCATTTGTTATTTAAATGAAACATAATCCATCCCTCCATTTCTCTTCCCTTCCTTTCCCTCGATTTCCTTCAATCCAAAAAAAGTGTTAAGGTCTATAATTTTGTCTGATTGAGTTTTATTCATAAAGAATATGATCTAGTTTGCCTATATCTTATGTATCTGTTTGTGTATTTCTTCCTTCTTCTGTTCTTTAAGTTGTGGGGTTTGAATATCCATAGATAATTTAGATGAGTTATTTTCTTTATATTTTGATTGTGGCTTGTTTACCAGCGAATATTATTATCTAATTTAAGGTAAGGATAAATTATTTTTTATTTTTACTCAATATCCCGTAGCCATTTCACCATTTGAATACTAAAGTAAAAGAAAAATTGAAAAAAAAGAAGAAATAGGTCAAGTAAAAAAAACAAAGGAAAAGTATTTTTTTTCACTTTATTTTTAAAAATTGAAATTATTTTTTATTGAAATTAAATTAAATTTGCTAAAATAAAATTACTTAAACTGAATTTAAATTGTGTAATTGTTTCTTTATTATATATACATTTTTATTTAGATATTACTAATTTTTATATATTAAAACTAACTTTTATTAAAAGCAAACATTGCCTAAATTGAGATGGGAAAATAAAATACTCACTTTGTTTTCCAAGTTACTGCTTGTGCGTACTCTTACTTTAACGTGGACAATAGGGTAGAAATTAGAAAAAACAGAGGAAGTAATTGTCTTTTACAATGGAATTAAAACAAGTAATTATTACTTTGATGTTTAAATATATTACTCCCTCCCTTTTACTCCATACAATAAATTAGACAGTTTGACATTTTATACTTTACACATACCTAGTGTCAAATTTGACTATAGATTTTTGTAAAAATTAATTTATGCAAAAGATACGAAGTACTCCATATGTTTTATGTGAATTGTTGTTGAATACTACTCCGAAGTAAGTATTTCATAATAATACTTACAAAGTAGAGAGTATTAACATGTAATAATTATTATTCAAAAAACATAAAAGCGTAATATTTTGCTAAAAATAAAGAAGTACGGAGTAACATATAAACAACAGCTACATTAACGAGTATTTAGTAAGTGTGACACTTTATCTACGGTTCTACACTAAGAAGTCTTTTTCTCTTCACAATTCACACCACTCCTCCTATTTCTCCTCCGTTGAAGCGTACTCTAAATATACGGCCGAAGCGATGTGTGAGCTATCTCTTCTCCATTGAACCAGCTCCTCAGGTTACATTTTTTCTCTTCTTTTAATCTCGAATATCAGTTTGACAATCAACTGTTAATCTTTCATTGTTCACACTACACAACGAAACCCTTCTTGTTGCTGCCTCGATTTTTTTAATCAAGTTCAAAAGGATTTCATTGAAGCTGAGTTTTCAATAAAATCCTAAATAACCAAACATTGTCATCAAATTGAATCTATGGTCAATTTTTCTTGATTTTCCTCCATTTAATTCATTATGCTCATTCCAAGCTGATTATTTGATTATGCTCTTTTATATTCTTCATTTAAATTTCTTGATAATGCTTAGTCTGCTATATTTCTTGATTATGCTTATTCTGCTATATTTCTTGGTTAGTAATTCCATTTTATGGGTTAAATTTTAGATGTTAAAAAAATTGCATTTTATTCATGCTTTACATAATGAGTAAACATTTGACATAGTTGAGTGTAGTTTCATATTGTGCAATATTTGTTGGATTGATCGATTCTATGATCCAATTTGTGACTCTTCCCATCCAAAGTAGAATCCCGATTCTGATAACCTTGTATGTATATGTTACATATGAACTGACATTTGGTTTGTAAGGCTGTGTAATGTATAATGAGCCTGCTGCATAAGTTAATTGGGTTTCTGATTCAGAAGTTGTGATATGATTGATGCAACAGATCGAATGGCAAAAGGTCTGATATGGGCAACAACAGAGGATTTAATGAGGAATAAGGGTCGAGTTCTATCTTTGTACAGACAAATATTGCGAAGTCTCAATTCTCCAGACTTACCGCTGCCCTTTGCAGCAAGAATGGCCAAGAAAGCTGAGGTTCGCGCTATCTTCATGCTGGGATCTGAAGAGAAGTCCCTACACAATGTTGCTGACCTCATAGATGCTGCAGAGTACTCGTTATCTCTCTTGAACAAAGGCGAAATCCCTAAACACATTCAATGAATACTTGAGAAAATGTATGTCTTCTCTTAAAGTACCAAATAACCTGCTGCTTGTAGCTAATCTTTTTGTAGTTTCTTGTTTGTGAATCTGAGTATGCTCTAGTCTTTTTGAGGTTTATATTGCATGCTAAATAAAATTTTTGGTACTTTGATTAATGAAGAGTTTGCCCAACATATATCCCTAGAAGAATGGTGTTTTAAATCTGATGCTGGGGTTGACAGTGATATTATGCTGGAGAAGTTAGGAGAGGAATGTTGGAGTAGAAGTGAATGCCAAGAAGAAATAAGTAAAATCTAGAGGAATGAAGAACCTAAATGGTCATGTTGGTCATGTTAGTTTTCTTGAATTTCGAAATCATCATAATATTACGAAAAAGGGTGTGTCTATCAATAACAAGAGGGTAAAGAATTTAATAGAGGATATGGGAGATGGTTCGTCAAGTAAATAAAATTTGAGGCGTAGACTGCATAGTAGTCATTTGCGTGCAGTTAGTGGTAGAGAAGATAATAGGTTTAGAGGCAATATTAGCAATGAACAGGTGCAGAAAAAGTAAAGAGAAATAAAACTGAAAAATTAAATATGCTGGTTTTCCTGGTGTAGATGAACTGTTGGTGTTGCTAGTTATCCTGGTGTAAATGATACTATTGGTGATGCTAGTTTTATTGAATTTAAACTAATCATGAGTTTAACAAGAAAGTTGATCTTTTGGTGATTGAGAAGCAAAAAATGTAAAAGGTTGGGGAGGTTTTGGGGGCTGCCTTTTCATTTAAGGAACTTCTGGAGTTTTTAATGACAGCCATGTCAATGCAATCACTGATGCAGAAGGCAGCAGGATTAAATGCTGTAAAAGGAAGAAAATCTGTTAGATCTAATTAACATGAAAGGAGAAAGTACTGCTGCTGTTATAAAAACCCGGAATATGAATGTATTGGTCATTCTGGTTTGGTTGAATACCAAATGTGCGATGAGGTTATTGAAAACATACAGTCTTTAATGGAGAAGAAGAGAAAAAGAAAGGTTAATCAGGAGCTGGAATTATTAATGAAGAGCTTGTGAAAACTGTCTATTTTGCTTCAATTAGCAATATTAAGTAAAAAAAACTAGGGATAGAAGCAGAGAAAAAGGAGAGATTTGCTAGATCTAATACTGAAAGAGATGGATAGATGAGAGAAATGAGACCATTCATTGATCCTTCTGAAAATTTTAATTACATATAAGTATTTTGAGAATTGGAGGTCATTCGTCTTTGTGATCCTGTTTGTTTGCTTGTTTATAAGTGCGTTTTTGTTTCTTTGTTTACCCTAGTTGGTATTTTGAGAATTCGTGATCATCTGATTCAGGCCTTACTACCATATGCTATGATTAAAGCTTGATTTGTTCCATGAGATGCTTCTAATCTGTTAAGGTGATATGTTACAAACCACATTTTACAAAAAATGAAATGTGATGCTACTTGCTGATAAGGCCATAGAGGATTAGAGGTGGGATGCTTGGAATCTGGAAACTGTCACTGTTTGATGGCGTGGGAGAAACTATTTGTCTGCAAATATAACTTCGAGATGCTTGTCATTGAAATCTGTAAACGCTGCCATGTTGTACATAATTTTGTAATATCTTTTAGACGGCCACATGATAATGATCCTTGGATACATACTCTAATAAAATGGCCTTTATGTTTATGGTTTGCTACTTTGCTTACCCAAAAGTCAAACTTCAATTAGAGAGGCGTACTGGCTTAGAGCTCCTTTGCTGCATTGAGCTTATTCAGTTTGAACCTTCTCGCTCCATTTTCTGCCTTCCATCATCTCTCTTATATGGCTGAATATAAGTGTGAAATTTAATTGCGTTTCTGGCAGATTCACCTAGTTTATTCTGACTTTCCTGCTGCTTGAGAAAATGAAATTTGTAAGTGCAGTGTGTAAAATCTGACGATTTGTAATTAGATATGCAATGTGGTATACTGGTGTGGTTGAGGGTTCACATGATGTTTAGGCTTTCCATATCTGCATCGGCGTTGTCTGTATTTTAGTTCTCGTGACTAGCCATGTAGGTGTCGTGCTACATTGTTTGCTTCAACCTTATACACCTGAACAAATTAGTCTTTGTAAGGATCATCTCTTAACCTGTAATTCTGATGTTATTTGAACTACAACCTGCTTTGTTTGAGGTGTTCAGTATTTGTTATATCATGTTTTAAACCCTTGATTATGTTTTAAACCGTTGAAAAGCCATTAATGTACAAGATTCTATTTGTGTTAAAATCTTTAAAGTACAGTCTAGAGCCGGACTCGTCCAACACATAAACTAGTAGACACCATTCAATCATTCATCTAAAAATATTACTCGTATAGTCGTATTATATTACTCGTATCATGTAACTTTGTATTAATTATTGGGACCTCTTATGGACCATCTTATTACAACAAAGCCAGTACAGTTGATAGTAGGAGACAAACTAGTATGCGACACAAACAATATTGCATGCGGTGCAGTATCACGGGTTAAAACAAACCATCACATATAGTTTGTCTCATTTCTCCATCTAGAAACTCTCTCACATTCCACAAGTTCTCACTTTTGATACAATCCTTAAATTTTTGGAAAATTTGTTGAAAATCATCTTATAAAAACCAAATTTTTTTTTGTTAAAAACCATCTTATAATTTTTAATTTTTTTTTTTTTTTTTTTTTTTTTTTTTTTTTTTTTTTTGTGTGTGTGTCAAAGCTCATTTTTTTTTTGTTGAATCCCACCACTTTTCGAATTTTGACTATTGATTGACATTTCCGGCATTGATTAACATGTGTACTCACGTGGCCCACTTAACCCCACTTTTCTATTATTTATCCCCCTTTCCCTCCATTCATTCCCCCTTCGTCACTTATATTTTCGTGCAATTGTATAAAAGGTTATAAAAACCAAATTATGACGAAGAGGGGTGACGAAGAGGGGAATGAATGGGGAAAAGGGGGAAAAATAGAAGAAAAATGGGGTTAAGTGGGTCACATGAGGTGCACATGTTAGTCAACGCTAGAATTGTAAGTAATTAGTCGGAATCCGGGGGAATGGTGGGACTTAACAAAAAAAATTTAAATCAGGTGTGCTTTGACAAAAAACACTTGTAAGATGTTTTTCAACAAAAATTGATTTTATAAGATGGTTTTCAATAAATTTTCCTAAATTTTTTTGTTATACTGTATATATATTACAAAGAATCCTTGTGTAAAAAAAAAAAAAAAATACAAAGAATCCTTCTATAAATAAATAGATTACCTCCATGATTAGTGGCTTAGTGCAGTGTTAGAATTAGCGGTAAATATTTAAATGTACATACATCTTGAAGATCGGGCAAAGTTAAAACATGAACAAGATTGAGCTAGTAAGAAACTAATAAATGAAATCTTTATTTGCGCCCATTTGATTGGCACAAAGTTTTATGAAGATGAGTTGAATAGAGTAAAATTTCGTTTAGGCGGGGTTTGTTGGCGGAAAACTTTTCGTCGGAAAATTTTAATTACGATGCATTTTCCCTCGTAAATGTTCCGACGGAAATAAATTCCGTCGTAATAAAAACTTCCGACGGAATATTCCGTCGTAAAGTGATTTGCGACAGAATATTCCGTCGGAAGATATTATTACGACGGAATTTATTTCCGTCGGAAGTTCTTTGTTAATTTTGAAAATTAAAATTCGTTCCTTGACCTAAAAAAAAGGGGGAAAGACGCAGAGAGAGAAAGAGAAGGAGCGAGAGGAGAGAGAGAAAGAGAAGGAGAGGGAGAAGGAGAGAGAAGAAAGACGCGGCGGCGCTTAACATTTACGCCGGCGACGCCTGCCGTCGACGCACACCCGCCACCGAGAAAGAAAGAGAGAAAGAAGGGTGAAAGAAAGAGAGAGGAGAAAGAGAACGAGAAAGAGAAAGATAAGGAGGAAGGGAGAGCTGTCGAGGAAGAAAGAACGACCCTGGTGGATTCCGGCGACGCCGCCGCGTCTAGGTAAGTGTGTGCAATTGGTAATTTTTTTTTTAATTTTGCAAAAAACCACCACCGGCTAACATTTAACCACCACAACGCAGCACCTCCGTCCCCTAGCCGTGACTGAACCACCTGGCCGTGGTTGTTTCCGGCGACGCCACACCTCCGTCCCCTGAAAATTCAGTAAGTTGCCTTTGCTTTCCCCCTTTTTTTTCAATTTTATTTTGTTTACTTATAAACCCTTAATTATTTTATTTTTTTTTAATTTTTTTGTAGGATTTGTACAATTTTGTTGGTTTAATTGTTAAAAAGAAGTGCAAATCTAAAGGTTAGTTACATCACAAACCCTAATATAATGTATGTGTGTATGTTACTTTGGTTATTAGATATTGTGTTGGATTATAATTAGAATGTATTCAATAACTTTTAGTTTGGTTAATTTAGTGACATTGGTCATCTCTTATAACTAATTAATTGCTCCCTTCTCTTTAAAAAAACAATATAATGTTAGTTTGGTTTAGTTTAGTTTAACATAATGTAGTTTAGTTAAGTTTATGTTAATATAATGTGTTTTAGTTTAATTTATTTTAATATAAAGTATCTTAATTTAGTTTAGTTTTTTTAGAATTATGTTAGTTTAATTTAATATATAAAACGGTAGTTTGGTTTGGTTTAGTTTAATATGATATATTAGTTTACTTTGGTTTGGTTTGATTTGGATTATATTAATAGTATGGTGTTATGATATGTTTCTCTTGTTTAGTTTAATCTTGATATATTTGTTTAATATTATGTATGTTAGTTAAGTATATATATTTTTAAATAAATCTTATAATTAATTAATTGCTCCCTTCTCTTTAAAAAAAACAATGTTAGTTTGGTTTAGTTTAGTTTAACATAATGTAGTTTAGTTAATTTTATGTTAATATAATGTGTTTTAGTTTAATTGATTTTAATATAAAGTATCTTAATTTAGTTTAGTTTTTTTAGAAATATGTTAGTTTAATTTAATATATAAAACGGTAGTTTGGTTTGGTTTAGTTTAATATGATATATTAGTTTACTTTGGTTTGGTTTGATTTGTTTCTCTTGTTTAGTTTAATCTTGATATATTTGTTTAATATTATGTATGTTAGTTAAGTATATATATTTTTAAAAAAATTATTTGCATAATAATATACCTAGATACCCGTTCAAGGCATACACATTAGGAGTATGTCTTGAATAGTCCCCGGTTGGGACTGTCCTTGTACGTTTATTCTCACTTAGGTGGTGAATGTATTCCTTTGTTTTAATTCTAAGGAAGATCCTTGCTTGTCATTTCTCTACAATTTTCTCTAGGTACATATATAGGTGTTTCTAATCGCCTATATCATGTACTTGGGGAACTGTAGGGAGATGCTGCCGGATTTTCCATAGAATTGAAATTCTGGCATACATTCACTAGTGAGATTGAACGTACAAGGATGGGTTAGGTTGGAGTGATAAGGACCCTTGGAAATCATTTCTCTTGTCATTTGCATTTCCATAACAGTTTGATCTATAATGAATATATATTGTGCTTTATGACTAATGTGATTAATGGCATATGTGTTAGTTGTGTAGAACTTGTAATCATGAAACGAAAAGAACGTAGCTGGATGTACGAAAGGAAGGTAGGGAATTCTGTTAATCCTGAGTTCTTGAAGGGGGTAGATGAATTCCTTAAATATGTGGAAGATCATCCCGAGAGTAGCAACCCGAATGAAGTTAGGTGTCCATGTTTTAAATGCAAAAACAAACGTCTTTGGGATCCAGATACAGTTAAACTTCATTTGCATCGCAACGGTTTTTTACCTAATTACTATGAGTGGATGTGTCATGGGGAAGGGTTTCCAGGAACTTGTAGAAGGCAGTCAAATGAATATCTTGAAATGGTTTTGGATGCCTTTGGTCAGTCTCAAGATCAAGGCCATTCCGAAGAGCCACCTGTTTCATTAGAGGAGGAGCCTAATGCACAAGCCAAGCCATTTTTTGATTTGTTAAGGGCTTCTGAACAACCGTTATACGAAGGGAGTTCATTGTCTGTGTTAGAGATGGCTTCTAGAATCACTAGCCTAAAGTGTGAGTATAATTTGCCGCACAGATGTGTTGATGGATTTACTTCTTTGGTTAATGAAGCGATTCCTAACAACAACCACATGGCCGAGACATTCTATGAGGTCAAGAAAATTGTTAAGGGGTTAGAGCTGCCCCATGAAAAGATTCATGCATGCCCGAAAGGATGTATGTTGTTTTGGAAAGATGATGCTCAATTATTTACATGTAGGGTGTGTGGCAGCGACCGATACAACAAGACTTCTAAAGGTAGCTTAGTGCCTTTGAATGTTCTATTTTATTTCCCTATCACACCTAGGTTGCAAAGGCTTTTTGCAACTAAAAACATTTCTGAGGAAATGACATGGCATGCTAAAAATCCTCGAGTCCAAGGCACCATGGCATACCCTAGCGATAGTGAAGCGTGGAAACACCTAGATAGTTGCTTTCCTGAGTTTTCCTCTGAACCTCGTAATGTTCGACTTGGTCTATGTACGGATGGATTTGCTCCACATGGTTAGTTTGGGGGACAATATTCATGTTGGCCTGTCATTTTGACCCCTTATAACTTGCCTCCGTCAATGTGTATGAAAAGACAGTTCATGTTTCTTTCGTTACTCGTTCCTGGTCCTAAAAACCCTAAGGGCAACTTAGATGTTTACATGCAACTGCTCATACACAAGTTGAAACAGTTGTGGGAAGTTGGGGCAAATACTTACAATATTTCGAGAAAACAAAATTTTAATCTTCGAGCATCCATCCTATGGACCGTTAGTGACTTCCCGGCTTATGGTATGTTATCTGGTTAGACCACAGCCGATAAGAAGGCTTGTCCATATTGCATGGAGAAAAGCAAAGCATTTTGGCTCGAAAATGGTGGTAAGGTTACTTGGTTTGATTGTCATCGTCAATTCCTTCTGATAAATCGTCCTTTTCGAAATAGTAAAAATGCATTTTGTAAAAACAAAGTCGAAAAAGGTTCACCACCTCACATCATGTCAGGAGAGGAACTTTGGGAATGTGTGAAAAACCTCCCGAAAGCAACATATGGCCCCGAGGCACTGAAACGTCTCAAGAATGCAAAAAAAGGGTAGTTCAAGCAAAGCACTCTATGGGACCTTCCATATTGGAAACATCTGCTTTTTCGTCACAACTTAGATGTCATGCACGTTGAAAAAAACTTTTTTGATAAGTTGATTCACACTATAATGGACGTGAAAAAGCTATCTTGTGACACGCCATCAGCTCGGAATGACATTGCTAAATACTGTAAACGGCCCCAGCTACATCTTCAAGAGGATGATAGAGGAAAAGAATTCATGCCAAAGGCTCCATTCGCTCTTGACAAGGCTCAGAGAAAGGTTTTGTGTGAGTGGGTCAAACAGCTGCGGTTTCCTGATGGTTACGCTTCCAATTTGAGCCGATGCGTTGATTTGCAATCAGGTAAGTTACATGGTATGAAAAGTCATGATTGTCACGTGTTCATGGAGAGGTTGTTACCCACCGCTTTGAGAGAATTGCTCCTTACCCATATATGGAATGCAATTACAGAGATAAGCCAATTCTTTCGCGATTTATGTTGCTACACAATTACAGTTAGCGACATGGAGCGATTGGAAAAAAACATAGCTGAGATCTTGTGCAAGCTTGAGAAGGTTTTCCCCCCATCTTTCTTCAACTCCATGGAGCATTTACCAATTCATTTGCCATATGAGGGCAAGTTATGTGGACCTGTTCAATATCAGTGGATGTATCCTTTCGAAAGGTAAATCAAAGGCCCTTTCTCAACTCTTACTTTCATCTCTTTCATTGCTTTTCGTTACATATACTTCTACGGCTATATAAAAATAATTACAGGTTCCTCAATCACCTGAAACGAAAAATTGGTAATAAGGCTCGTGTTGAAGGTTCCATGTGGAACGTGATCGGGTTCAATGGTGGGTTGTATTTAGAACTCAAGCAAGGTCGGTGATTGATGCTCCGGTGGATTTAGAGTTTTTGCAGGGTCCTTCACCACAAGTACATGCAACGCTTTGTCCACCAAATGACATTCCAGACTATGAACTTGATATTGATGATGATAATGACGATGGCTTTGTTATCTCAAGCGATGAAGAAGAAGAAAAAAGCATTGGCTCCAGTGATAGTGACGAAAAAGAGGACATCGATGTATTTTTAGATGACACTAGTGATAGTAATAATGATAATGATAATGATAGTGGTAGTAGTGATAAGAGTAATGAAGAGTAGAATATGTAGTTACTCCTTTAACTATTGCCTTTGAATGTTTAGTTTTTAATGACTACTCGGACTTGTAATATTGCATTACATTTTTGGTCTCATTTTATTTATTTAATGTCTTATGGATCTAATTTATGAATTTACAATGTGCGATCATGGTACTAACAACTTTTTCAGGTGGTCATCATGGGAGGAGGAAATAAAGGAGAAACGTCCAAGAGGAGAAAGACTAAGGGGAAATCTCAGTTTGTACGTGTTGACGAGGATGAGTCAATGGAGGAAGAGGAGGCACATGATTTGGGGGCCTCTCAAGAAATCGTCAGTCGGAGACAGATTCCTAGGCATGTACAAGGGCAACAGAAGCTACAGGACCCGCATCCTAATGACTTGCTGGAGTTGGACCCTTCCACACTTTGGTGCGTATGTATTTGTAATGAAATATCCTTAAATTTTTATTTACTTTGATAAAGTGAATTTGTATTACTTTAACCATGTTTTGTTCACTTTTTGTTGATTATCTACTTACATGAATGTCTATCCTTTATTATAGGTTTGATGATATCCCGGTGAAGAATGTGCTCTCCGACTCGCTAACCGGCTACTATGTTGAGCCTTGGAGGAATTATGGAGAGGTTGATGAAGATTCGAGAGAGCACTTTTGGAACTTGTTCAGCGTATGATAACTTTAACCTAACATAATACATGTTTTATAAAGTATATTGATGGAGTTGAATTTTGTAATAAAGACATTTTCTTGATTTTCAGCATGTATATATAAAGGCTGCAAAAAAACCAAGGCCAATTACCAAATGCCCATGATCTTTTCTTGAAGACACACTTCAAGGAAGTGCCTGGAAAAGGCCAAGTGGCTGCCCACACCAAAGCAAAAAGGATTGCGGTAAAAACTTATTATATGAGTTGATATATGGCAAATTAGCAAAGTACACTACAAGAAAATAACCTTTTCGTAGCGATTATTTTAACCTTTAGTATCGATTGTAATTGCAACAAAAAGCTTTCCCAACGAATGGTCATTCGATACAATATCCCCCGTTGCCTTAGCCTTTAGTAGTGGTATTCAATATCGTTGGGGTTGACCTCAATAATCGATACGAAAAACGACATCCAGTCGTGGTGATTATTGTAGCGATTACAATCTCTATAATGTTTAACTCATTTTCTTAAAAAAAAAAAAAAAAACCCATGCATATGATCTTTACAAGATTCGAACATGCAACCTCAAACTCTTATATTAAATGTTTCACCAATAAGCTATGACATATTTTATGTATTCTTTGTCAAATAATATTTATATTTCTAGTGTTGAAAAGGCCTTTTGTATCAATTTTTAGGATTTAGTGGCGATTGTAAATGATATGATTTCTCAAAATTATATAAATGTGTAAAAATAGTGTGGATATGTATTATTATGTTTTCCGTATCGATTTATATGGGAAAACCATGGCGATTGTAAAAATGATACGACATCCTTAATTATTTCACAAACATACTTGCATATTGTAGGGAATTTACAATCACTACGAAAAGAGATTTTTCTTGTAGTGGTAGAACTCATTATATGGTTATTTGGATGAGTTAGGGTCAAAAATTGACTTATGTGCTAATTTTTCTTAATTTCTATCCTTAGGCAATCAAAAGCAATTGATATTGGAATTTTAGAAGAAAGAACGAGTCCATTTGCTTGAAAACATAGAAAAAATAGGCATGGTTTTAGCCATATAGGCCAAATTTGGATGATTTTGGATGAGTTAGGGTCGAAAATTAACTTATGTGCTTATTTTTCTTTATTTCAATCCTTAGGCACCTACAAGTATGTGATATTGGAATGTTAGAAGAAATAAACCTTCCATTTGATTGAAAACATAGAAAATAGGCATGGTTTTAGCCATATAGGCCAAATTTGGATGATTTTGGATGAGTTAGGGTCGATATTTGACATATGTGATTATTTCTCTTAATTTCTATCCTTAGGCACTTAAAATAAATTGATATTGTAATGTTAGAAGAAAGAACGAGTCCATTTGCTTGAAAACATAGAAAATAGGCATGGTTTTAGCCATATAGGCCAAATTTGGAAGATTTTGGATGAGTTAGGGTCGAAAATTGACTTATGTGCTTATTTTTCTTTATTTCTATCCTTAGGAACCTACAAATATGTGATATTGGAATGTTAGAAGAAAGAAACCTTCCATTTGATTGAAAACATAGAAAATAGGCATGGTTTTAGCCATATAGGCCAATTTTGGATGAGTTAGGGTCGATATTTGACATATGTGCTTATTTCTCTTAATTTTATCCGTAGGCACTTAAAAGCAATTGATATTGGAATGTTAGAAGAAAGAACAAGTCCATTTGCTTGAAAACATAGAAAATAGGCATGGTTTTAGCTATATAGGCCAAATTTAAATGATTTTGGATGAGTTAGGGTCGATATTTGACATATGTGCTTATTTCTCTTAATTTCTATCCTTAGGCACCTACAATTATGTGATATTGGAATGTTAGAAGAAATAAACCTTCCATTTGATTGAAAACATAGAAAATAGGCATGGTTTTAGCCATATAGGCCAAATTTGGATTATTTTGGATGAGTTAGGGTCGATATTTGACATATGTGCTTATTTCTCTTAATTTCTATCCTTAGGTACCTAAAAGCAATTGATATTGGAATGTTAGAAGAAAGAAACCTTACATTTTCTTGAAAACATAGAAAATAGGCATGGTTTAAGCCATATAGGCCAAATTTGGATGATTTTGGATGAGTTAGGGTCGATATTTGACTTATGTGCTTATTTTTCTTTATTTCTATCCTTAGGCACCTAAAAGTATGTGATATTGGAATGTTAGAAGAAAGAAACCTTACCTTATATTGTTGGTTGTTTTTTTAACAATATTTTTTATTATCTTCAATATTTTGTAGGAGACCTACCAAAAGAAGCTCGAAGAAACAAGGAGTTAGGGGATTCAGAAGAGTCCCAATAAGTTGTACTGGGAGACGGTGGGTGGGCGCAATAAGAAGGGGAGTGTGAAGGGACTTGGCCAAAGTGCAGAGCTCTACTATGGCAAACAGATGGGTCGAGGTTCCCGTTCTTCACAGCAATACACGCCGTCTGTCATTTCTCAAATGCAAGACCAGATGGAACACAGGGTGCAAGCTCTCCAAACTCAAATGGAAGCCGAGATGGAAAGGCGAATTGACTCCCGAATGGCTGAAATGGAGAGGAGATACAAGGAGAGTATGGATGAGATGATGAGTCGTTTCACCAACAACGACTCATGTTCCACCATTCATCCTCAGCATCGAGACCCAAGGGACGACCCGGGTAGTGGTGGAGCAGGCCAGGGTTTGCAGGCGATTGCGTGGCTTAACTTTAGTCTAGCATAGAATCACTCTAACCTAGCTTTTGTTTGGTATAGATACCAAAATGTGGACTATCTTTTGTACTAGGACATAATTATTATATATATATGTAAATAAATATAATTTCGTAGGTCGGTAATTAATTTTTTTAAAACAACAATTTCAGGACTCAATGTTTATTTTTTTTTTGTCGATTTATCATAAAAAAAATTCAGGTTTGAAAATTCATATTTTTACAGAAATTTGTTTCAGGCTGGAACTAAAATTTATGACGGAAAAAGCGTTGCCACCTATATTTTTCGACGGAATTTTCTGTCGTAATTTATAATTTGCGATGGAAAATTCTGTCGGAAATATATAAGTTGCGACGGAATTTTCTGTCGCAAAGTATAATTTACGACGGAAAAAAGCGTCGCAACTTATATATTTCCGACAGACTTTTCCATCGCAAATTATAAATTACAACATAAAATTCCGTCGTAAATTATAGGTTGCGACGCTTTTTTCTGTCGTAAATTATAGTTTGCGACGCTTTTTTCCGTCGTAAATTATACTTTGCGACAGAAAATTCCGTCGGAAGTTTTAGTTTACGACGGATATGTTTCCGTCGGAATCTTGCGACTGATCATCAATAAAGGCCAAATTCAAGTCCGACGATATTATTTCCGTCGTAAATTCCGTCGAAAGGAAGGTTTACGACGGAAATTCCGTCGAAATATGGCCATTTTCCTACAAAGGGTTTTTCGACGACCCGTTACGACGGAATTCCGTCGGAACCCTACTTTCCGACGGAATTGACATATGTTACGACGAAATTTTTCCGTTGCAATTTCGCTGTTTTCTTGTTGTGTTCAGCGGTGCTTCTCATACTTGGTCTAGAGGAAATTCGATTGAGACTTGGGAAAGTGCAAGACATGACCGTGCCCGTTGCAATGGAGAATGGAGTCTTAGGTTCCCAAATGCATCGGTTAAGCATCTCCCTGCAATCCAATCTGATCATTGCCCGATTATTATTACCCCTAATGGTTTTTCACCTATTTCAAAAGTGAATAGGCCCTTCTGTTTTCAAGCTGCTTGGATGACACACGAAAATTTTCTTGAGTTTGTTGAAAGTAAATGGGATAAGGAGGCGCCTCTCATGCCTCACCTTAGTCAACTTGCGGCTGATTTTCAAGAATGGAATAAAACAACCTTTCACAACATTTTTAAGAAGAAACGCAATCTCATGGCTCGGATTGCAGGGGTGCAACGTGCCCTTGCTCTTCAAAAAGCGAGAGATTTGATTAAGCTTGAGTCTAAATTGAGGGTGGAACTTGATGAAGTGCTAGCTCAAGAGGAATTACTTTGGTACCAAAAGTCTAGAGTGGAATGGATCAGAGACAGAGACCGCAACACCACCTTTTTTCATCTAAGCACAATTGCTAGGAGATGGAGAAACAAAATTTCAGCCATTAGAGATGGCCTGGATGGGCAGTGGTTAACGGATAAGACAAAGGTTCAAAATATTATAGTACAATATTTCACTACTTTATTCGACAGTGAAGAAGTGTAGCAATATGAGGACCTTTCTCGAGATATCTTTCCAGAATTCACAGTACAACACGTGATTGGAGTAGCTTAACACGGCCGTACCTACAATGTGAAATTGACAGAGCGATTAATGGGATGGGTGCTCTAAAGGCCCCGGGACCGGATGGTTTTCAGGTTTTGTTTTACAAGAAAAATTGGGATTTAGTGTCCAAAAATGTGTACAAATTGGTCCTTGATGTGCTCAATGGAAAAAGTATGCCACCAAATTTGAACGACACCTTCCTTGTGTTAATTCCTAAAATTGATAATCCTGAGATAGCTACTCAATTTAGGCCTATTAGCTTATGTAATGTAGCATATAAAATCATTACAAAAGTTATTGTTAATCGTGTCAAACCCATGATGCCTCATCTCACATCAAGTAAGCAAACAAGTTTTGTGCCGGGAAGACAAATTACGGATAATATTGTCATTGTACAAGAGGTAATCCATACTATGCGGAACAATCAGGGTGCAAAGGGGTTTATGGCTATCAAAATAGATTTTGAGAAAGCTTATGATAGGCTTCGATGGGAGTTCATTCGGGACACTTTAATGGAAATTCGATTTCCTATTCTGCTTGTTGAGGCTATTATGGAGTGCATAACCACTTCCACTATGAAGGTGCTCTGGAATGGGGAACCGACTCAAACTTTCACTCCTAAGTGTGGAATTAGACAAGGGGATCCATTATCACCCTATATATTCGTGCTTTGTATGGAACGATTAAGGAGTCGATTATTTTAAAGAGATGGAAACCTATAAGGGCAAGCAGGAACGGACCACAAGTATCAAATCTTGCATTCGCTGATGATATTATACTCTTTGCAGAGGCTAGTATAGAACAAGCACATTGGATCAAATCTTGCTTGGATCGTTTTTGTGCAGCCTCAGGGCAGAAGGTTAGTTACTCTAAAACTAGAGTATATTTTTCGAGCAATACTGATGATACGAAGCGAAAAAATATCACTGACTTCCTGGGTATAAAACAAACGGATGATCTTGGGAATTATTTGGGAATGCCAACTCTTACAAGCCGAGTAACTAGAGACACCTTTGGCTATCTCTGTGAAAAAATTGATAGACGGTTATTGATATACGTGTTTTATACAATGGTTTTCCCCGGTTTGATTGCATGATTTTACATGGTTTTGAGCTC